CTTCCACTTGTGTTATTATAATGAATGTGAAATTATGCCTCACTATGGTTTTAATTTGAATGCCATTCACTGTTAATGAGGCTGACATACTGTTGTGCATGTATTGACCACACTGCTTCCTCTTTAAACGTATGTTTTTGCTCTTTTATTCTAATGTATGTATTATAGTTTTTTTCATAGTTTTTTTTTCTTTTTTTTAATCTTGTGAACACGTTGTTGTTGTTGTTGCTACGTGCTGTCAAGTCAGACCCGACTCATAGAAACCCCTCCTTGGGTTTCTGAGGCAGTATCACTATGGAAGTAGATTGTGCCATCTTCTATGCGAGGAGTGGCTGGTGGGTTTGAACCGCCAGCCTTCTGGTTAGCAGTCAAGTGCCTTAGCCACTATACTACCAGAGCTCCCTCTTATGAACATACTAGATATTAATTCTTTGTAAGTTATGTGTATCAAAATCATTTTAGCTCATTTGTTCCTTGTCTTTTACATTTTATTGTATATTATATTCATGTTAATTTGAATACAATCAAACTTAGCAATATTTTTTGTAAGTTGTGATTTTTGTGTTTAAGAGACCACTCCCTAACTTAAAGTCAAAAATACGTATTTTAATATTCTCTCATGAAGTTTTAAAGTTTTATTTTTCACATTTAAATGATCAGTTCCCCTGGATTGTTATTGTTCTTGCTATTATTGTTTCATTCTTCATATGATATGAGATAGGAATCTTTTTTTTTTTTTTCCTCAAGGTGGATAATTGCACTCCATATTTTGAGTTTCAATATATCATATTTATGGTTCTGGGCTCTGTCTCTGGTCACTCCTCAAGTATGCTATTCCTGCACCAACACTACATTGTATTAATGTGTCCTTGTGTGGTCAAATATTCTTTTCCCATTCTTGGGCCTTTACTCTTTCCTATGAATTTAAAAAATAATTAAGAATTATTAAAAAAAAAAATCTGCTGGTATTCTAATTGCAGATTCACAGATAAATATAGAAGGGTAACCTCTTTAAGGTATTAAATACTTCTTTTACAAATATAGCAGATTTATCTAAATATTTAGGTATCCTTTATATAGTTTAGGAGGCCTGTTGGACTAGTGTGTGAGGCATTTGGCTGCTAACCAGAAGAGCTGCCATTGAAACCCACCAGCTGCTCCATGAGAGGAAGATGAGGCAATCTACTTCCATAAAAATTTACAGCCTTGGAAACCTAATGGGGATCTCTGTAAGTTGGAACAAACTTGATGGCAGTGGACTTGGTTTTGGTTTATACAGTTTAAATATGTTCTATGAAATTTTGATTCTATCAGTTATATTCCTAAGTGATAATTTCCTTGCTCTTAAAAATGGTACTTCTTTAAAATACCTTTCATAACTTTGCTGCTGGAATACAAAAATTAAATTGACATTTATATGTTGATCTCATGTTTCTCTTGCTTGCTTAATTCGACCATTAAATGTCATAATTTAGAGATTCTTTTGAACTATCTATGCTTTTGGATTTTCATGCCAAATTACAATTCTGTTTACTCTTTTCTAGTTTTGATTTTTCCTCTTTTTGTCTGAGTACCCCTTCAATAATATTATTGAAATACCCTTCAGTGGTATTATTGAAATGAATGGTATTATTGAGGTTGGGCTGCTTTTTATATTCCTGATCTATAAGGAAATGTTTTCAGGGTTTTACTTTTAAGTTTTTGTAGTTTCCTTATCATGTTAAGGAAATACTTATCTATTCCTTGCTTGTTTATTAAGAATTTTTATTACTGATGAGTGTAAAGTTCAGTGCTTTTTTTTTTCTTTTTTCTTTTAAAATGATTACACGTTTCTCTCTTAATTTCTTAATATGAGAAATGCATTAATAAATTTTCATAATAAACTATCCCACTTTTCTGGAAACAAATCTACTTTCTCTTAATTTACTTTATAGGTTAGTGGCTTTGGTTCATTTACTGTTTTTTTCAGGAATTATGCATATATGTTCTTGAATCAAAATGGCCTTAAATTTTCCTTTTCATGTTGGTCCATAATTTGTCTTCATTCCAAATATTTTTTCCAATATCTATGACAAATTTAAACACACAATAGAATAATACAACAAGACATAGAATATTTATTGCATAACTAAAACAATCATTACCTCCAGGCCACTCTGGTTTCATCAATATTCTTATATCTTTAGTCTTTCCACACTAGATGATTTTGAACTAAATGCTAGAACACATATTATTCTTTCTACAAGTATATTATCATGTAATCCTAAATGTTTAAAACACTCCAAAATATAATTACAATACCATAATCATGCTGAAAATAATATATATACCTTGACATTATCAAATGTTCACTTTTAATCAGTTTTGTCATAATTATGTTTTCCCATTTAATCTGTTAAATTCAAGGGCTAAACTGGGAACATACACATTGCATTTGACTGATAATAATAGCTTTTTATGGCTTTATTTCCTTATAGCCATTTGTTAGCAAAACTGAGTCATTTGTCTGTAGTATCCTTTCTTCTAGATCTTGCAGATTATATAACTTTATGTCATATAAATTGTTTCTTCATCTCTTGTATTTCCTGGATATTGACAGTTAATATTAAGCAAGAGTTCTCGAGCTATTTTGGTCTCAGGAAACTTTTAGAAATTATTGAGGACCCCAAAGAACTTTTGTGAATGTGGGTTATATTCACTGAGTATTTCCCGTAGAAGAAATTTAAACTGAAATTTAAAACAAAATAAGGCATATATTTATTAACACATTTGATCATTATTTTTTAAAAAAAGCCACATTAATACCCATAGATGAATAACAAAAGCTTATCTGACAGTCAAACAAAAATGGTGTTCCATGAAAACAGTGGATTACAACTCAATGTTAGAAACACTTTTCCTCAAGACAACCATTTGACAGAGTGCTACCTGGAAGCTTCTTTTTGTCAAATACATTCTTGAAAGACATGTATGCAAGAGTGAACAATTACTAAAATTAATCACCTTCACAGCTTATCAAAGACATTTTTAAATGAAAAATTTCCTATTTTTACCTCCAAATTCATTAATATGCAGTACACAAATAAGGCACATGGCTGCTAATCAGAAGGCCAGTGGTTGAAACCCACCAGCTGCTCGGTGGGAGGAAGATGAGGCAATCTACTCTTGTACAGATTTACAGCCTTGGAAACTCAAGGAAGGTTGCTATGAGTCAAAATTGACTCAATTAGAGTGGGTTTAGTTTGGTAGGATCTTGATTAATTATAATGCACCGGACATTTTACCCACTATAGATTCTACATGATCAGTGCAAGTGTCAACACAGTGATATTTTTGTTATTGTTTTTGTTGTTGTTGTTATGTGTCATCAAGTAAGACCCAACTCTTAGTGACCTCTCCTTGGGTTTCTGAAACAGTACCGCTACGGAAGTAGATTGCCCCATCTTCCTTCCAAAGTGGCTTAGGCACTACACTACCAGAGCTCTCTCCAGTGACATTTTAGTATAATTATAAAAAAACTGAAACTTCATGTTCCCTTTGAAGAGTTTGAAAATTCCCACTTATCAATATATCACACTCTGAGAAAGTGTCTCTAAGATATCGAATTGCTAGCTCAGATTCCCCCAGAATAAGGAATTATTTCTCAGTGGCCCTTCATGAAAGTGGCCACCATATTTAGCACCAAGATATAGAGATGACTTTCCATCCACAGCCAGCTGGCAGAAGTACAAGGAGCCTCTGTGTAGCATGGGGCAGTGAACAATACAATGGAAAGTTTGTCCTATATGCAACATGGGCTCACATCTAGTTTTTTCCACCATCTGATGTGTGCCTTCTCTATGCATGGATCTATCCTTCCTTTTCTTTCCATCCCCTTAACTGTTATTTTAATTATATCCTGGTCTCCTTTATTTTGCCTCATCTTTTCACATTAGCTTTATACATTACTGGAACTTTGACTCTTAGATGACTGAGAGCCATATTTACTTATGTGTTGTTATGTACAATGTTGGCTCACATGTTGACTTAGGAATTTATTCCATGGTTCCCTTACACCTTGCTGTTATGTTGAAGCAACAATGCTCAATCATTTCTCCTACTCTTGGTTTCAATTCTATGTCTCCACTCCTATTACTATTCCCTAAACAACACTTCAATTCCTGTACCATTCTCTTTTTACTTATTATCTTGTGTTTTTTTAATCTCACTGTAATAGGGAGAAAGAAATCCATATGTATGCCAACAAGGGTGAGTTCCTGACAAATTGATAAAAAATAAAGTACAATTATTTTTATTTTTACTTCTTATCTATCTATTGCCATATATATTTCTCTTTTTTTTTTTTTTTCTTAAGTATCCAAAACACTAGAATTTGTGCCCCAGGGCCATAGTAATTTTTTTTTTAATTGTTCAAAACAAGGCCTATGGGAGAGGCTGCGAAAAGAACAGACTTCATCTGTTCCTAGGGAAAGTGCTGGCATGCTAACAGTAAACAGGCAATATCTGTGTAATTCCCAGCCTCTGCTGGGAAATGTCTCCTCCCCGTGGCAAGAATTTCCTGGAATCCATGCCAAGTCCTTCCCCATGAGCCAGGTACCATGTACACATTCCCGGTATTGACTCCAATGTCCTTCCCTCAGGTTTCCTATAAAAGCCCAGGTTTTCTTAGCCTGAGAAACCATCCCAGAGCCCTGCAAGACAGGTAAGTGGGAGATGTGGGAAGATGAGACCCACATCAGGGCTTTTCCCTCACACAATACAAGGGAAAGTGTAAGAGGACTCCAGCTTCAGACTCAGCAAAGGGATGTCTCAGGGGCATTAGGGATACAGATTGCCTAAGTGTCTCCAGAACTATAGAAAGGAATGGATGTCACTTAGGTCAATTAATTTCCTGAAGTTAAAGGAAAAGACATGAAATAGGATTGTGAGGGCTCTGCCCACACTCCCTTTGATCACCCTTGCCTTACTGACCTCTGATTCCCTCCTCACACACAGACACAATGCTGCTTCCCGTGACCTTCCACAGCATGTCCTGGATGCTGCTCTCCTCTCTGATGCTGCTATCCCAGGTCCAAGGTAAGATTTTTCTTCCTCTATCAATCACTGGCTTCTTTATGAATGTTTCAGGGCCAAAAGAGGAAAAAGACACCTGTGTGACACATGTAGTTAAGATGAGGTATATTCCCACATAATCAAACTGCATGCAATTTCCCCATCATTACTACTTCCATCAGGTTAACTAGTTCTGGGGGTTATCAGAGTGAAATAGATGATATCCTACTTTGTCAGTGGACTCCAATTAATTTGGGGAAGTTGTAGAATTAAAGTATGAAGCATCAATGATGGCATAGAGAGAGGCCCCAGTATATGGTCAGTCATCCGGAAGGACTGGACATTGAAAAATATAGGAGGGTAAAAAGACAAGAGATGTTCTACCATTGAGGAGGGCTGTTTCAAGATTAATACATTCTGAAACACTTGTCAAAGGTGAGAGGTGGTCAAGAATGTGGCATTATTCCCCATAAACTGGCTTTATGGGCATTCTTCCAATGTTGCCTCCCCACTTTCCTCTCCCCAATCACCACACTTCATCTCATTGTGTTCTACCACTTTATTTTCTTTCTACCCCAGGTGAAGATGACCCAATGAAACAGCTCTCTGCACGGATCAGCTGTCCTGGAGGCTCCAAAGCCTATGGTTCCCACTGCTATGCCTTTTTTCTGATGCCAAAAACCTGGGTGGAGGCAGATGTATGTAGCATGTTGTGGGGTTGGGGATCCTAGTGAAAAGTACATGGGAGACCAGAGGAGGGCAGGGAGGCCTCCATTCTCGAGAATGCCATCGGGTGAAAATGTGCACCTACATCTCTCACACACCACCCTTCTCAAATACCTTCTCCCTACACCTTCCCCAGTGAAGTCTCAATTCTCCCTTGGTATCTTCATTTCCCACACAGATGGCTTGCCAGAAGCGGTCTTCAGGACACCTTGTGTCTGTACTCAGTGTGGCTGAGGGATACTTTGTGGCCTCCCTGGTGAAAAGCACTTCAAACAACTATGCAAATGTCTGGATTGGGCTCCATGATCCTACACTGGTGAGATTGAGTTCTATCTTCCTTATTATCTCTCGAGTTGTTTTTGTCACCCAGTGTCAGTCTCTATCCATTGTGTCTGCCTTGGAGATACACCATAGAATCCTGGAACTCAGGGATCCTGAGTAACCTTTGGAGGAAAGGGAGACTCTTAAGGCCAGCTAGAGAGCTGAGTTCTGTGGAGGTTCTGATCTAAACTGAAATTAATCTGCCTCTCGTCAATCTTTTTACACAATTCATGGGGCCTTGTAATTCAGTTCTCTGAGTTTCAAAGCTCTGTGTAAACTGTGCTCAGGGGATCCTCAATGAAGATCTGCTTTTGCCCTCTCTAGTACAGACATAGGAGCTCTGGTGGTAGAGTGCCTAAGGCATTTGAGTGCTAACCAGAAAGCTGACAGTTAAAACCCACCAGCCACTCTTCAGAAGGAAGACTGGGCAATCTACTAATAAAGATTTACTGCCTCAGAAACCCAAAGGGGGTCACTATGAGTCTGAATTGACTCAATGGCAGTGAGTTTTATTTGGTTTGGCTTGCTTTGCTTTAGTACAGACATAGTTTTCAGGACTCAGATGGTATTCAATAACAATGCACCAGCCACTGTTGTTTAACTAATGACCGGCTACTTTGGGTATCTCTGCTGGTTGTGGCTTTGGGATTTGCCAAGAGGAGCGAGTGATTCCTAAAATGGATGGTTCTTGTAGAGCACCTAGAATAGCAGATCACTTAATTGTTTCTGGGGTTGGGATTAGTTATTCCTGCCAAGGGGATCATGCAAAGGGAGTGGCGCTGACTTTACTCCTACCTGTTTCCATCCTCTACTCTATAGGGCTTGGAACCCAATGCAGGGGGATGGGAGTGGAGTAACACAGATGTGCTAAATTACTTGGCCTGGGAGAGACTTCCATCCACAATCTCAAACCCTGGTCACTGTGGGAGCCTGTCGCAAAACTCAGGTAATATGGGAGCCCAACCTTGACCATCCACTCATTCCTCTTCCCTAGGACTAATCTTCAGAGAATTCTTCTAAGCTAGTAAATTCTATGCTGTTTTTTCTTCTCCCATCCCCTCTCTTCTCTGCTTTTTTTGTGTCTCCTTCATGTGGAGTGGGACATTGAGGAGGATGTACATTTAAATCCTTCACTAAAATCTGGGATGCTTTTCCATTGGGTTCACAATCACCATCAACCCCATCCACCTTACCTCTCTGTCTTTGTAGGATTCCGGAGCTGGAAAGATTATAACTGTGATCAGAGGTTGCCCTATGTTTGCAAGTTCAAGGGTTAGGACCAGTGGAAAGAGAACAGCGTGGGCCTGTGTGATCATCATGGAGCTAAGACCTAGTGTGAAGACTCACAAAAGAAGAGAATATTCTCCTCTATATCCTCAACTTGATCTCTTCATTCTGATCCTGTCTTTTCTTCCCTGTTCTCCATCTTCATTTTAGAATTTTTAATATATATTCCATGGAATAAGTCCTCATAAAGCAATATTAATTTTTTTTTTCTGCATTTGCTCGTCTTGTGTGTTTCATTCTGTTAGCCAGACCTTGAGGATGATAAATGGGCGGGGAAGAAAACATGGTCAGTCTCACCGATGTCTAATTTCTGGCAGGTCTTGGGGAAAATTGCAATATGTAAATTCTTACCAGTGTATTTGTGATGACAGTGTAGGCCCTGTAATTGGAGGCTATGGGTTCTGGACAGACATTACTCTCCTAAACACTCTGTATATTCCCATAGCCCAGGTCTGATGGTGTGCACAACTGGCCTTAAGGGGCTTTGATGGCGTCTAGAGCAGTAATTCTCAAATTTACTGGGGTAAAGATCTGGCTTCATTTTTTTTTTCTTTCTTTATTTTGCAATCTTCATCAGATTAGTTTTTTTGTTTGTTTGTTTTAAATAAATAAAAACATTAACTACTTGGAATTCTAGTTTTAGTTGTGATGGAAAGTACTAGAAATTTGTCATTTTATTTAAACAAAAAAACAAACAAACAAAAAAAAAACTGAACAAACCAGAATTCTTCAACTTTCCTTCTATCATTCAGAGAATTGAGGTTGCATGGAAAACACCTTGATATCTGAAGAGACAGGTGAATAGAGAACATCGCAGCTGAAGTCTAGAGTCATAAATTGTTAGGAACAGTTAAACGGTAATTTTGAAAAATCTCTGGACATGCAGAATGGATTAGTGTTAAGAGTGAGAAACCTCTGGATCCCACAGTCTTACAGAAGCTCATGCTGTTTTGTGTATTGTAGGTTAGAACTGTGGGTTCTCATGTTGAAGAACCAAGAAAGGTCCTTCTTGATTCTTTCAAAAAGGGAAGATATAACTATTTTTAAATGTGCCCAGAAGTTTCTCCATAAAAATGGTCAACATTCCAGGTAAAAAGACTTTACCAGAGTTTTATCCCTCCTATGAGGAAGGTTACTTACCCAACTCTATCCCAATCTAGCCTTTCCACCTTACCAAATGTAGTAATTAAAAGTTAGAAAGAAAGAAAAAAATTGAAGATTGCAGAACAGGAATACAGGCCCACTATAAGACAGATTTAATCATGAGATTATTAAATGCTTCCCCTCTCTGACATAACCATATTAACTAGGTTCTAGAATAATTGCAGAAGCTGTGGTAGCATAGTACCTAAGGTGCTTGACTGCTAACCAGAAGGCTGGCAGTTCAAACTCACCAGCTACTCTTTGGAAGGGAGCTTGTGCAATCTACTTCCAAAGTGATACCACTTCGGAACCCCAATGAGGGATCGCTATGTGTCGGGTCCTACTCAACGGCACATAGCAACAACAACAACAGAATAGTTGCAGTTTATTATTGCTGAAAGAGCTTCAAAATGCAAATACTACTAAAGGAGGAATTCCTAGGAAAGTCCAAAGGTAATGGGAGACAAAAACAAGAACATCATAGAAAATTTAAGTCTCTGGAACCTACAGCTATGCAAATATGAAAGATTACAACTCCTAAGAAAAACCAAACCAAACCAAACCAATTACCATCCAGTAGATTCTGACTCATGGTGATCCCATGTGTGTCAGAGCAGAACTGTGCTCCACAGGGTTATAAATGACTGATTTTTAAGAAGGAGATTACCATGCCTTTCTGTCCAGGCATCTCTCAATATATTCAAACAGCCAACCTTTCAGTAGTAGGTGAGTGCTTAACCATTTGCACCATTCAGGAACTCCTAAACAAATTAACATAAAGCCTCACACTAATGATTTTTACCAATATATAATGAGTGACTTTCAACAACAAGATTGGGCAATCTACTTCTGTCATGGTACCACCTTGGAAACCCAAGGAAATGTCTCTATGAGTCAGATCAGATTCGACATAAGTGAGTTTCGTTTTCGGTTTTTAATCAATAACAACAACGAAAATATATGACATGATGAAAGTTAAGATAAATCAAAAGATAATACTAGAAATCAAAAATATCTCAACAGAAATAAAAAATATCTTTGATGGGTTCTTCAGTAGAGTAAACATAGGCAAGGCAATCTTTGTGAACTTGAAGATAGAAGCATTTGAAAATGTTAAAATTCTACATAAGCTTGCGAATAGATAACTTTCTAGACTGATATGTAAGAATGTAAAGAGGAAAAAAGAAAACAGAATAGAACATCCAACAACTATGGGCTAATATCAAAAGTTGTAACACACATACTTGGCTACCAGGCATAGAAGAAATAGAAAACAGAGAAAAAGATATATTTGAAGCAGTAATAACCAAAAACTTTCCAAAATTAATGACAGACTCCAAAGAACAGATCTAGAAAAATCAGAAAACACCAAACAAGATAAATACTAAAAAATGCACCAAGGTGTCTCATAGTCAGACTTCAGAAAACAAAAGATAAAAAAAAAATCTACCAAGAAGAGAGAGGGCACATCTCAGCTACCAGGTATCAAGGATAAAAATTGCACAAATCTTCTCTTCAGAAACCATGCAAGCAAGAAAACAGAGAGAAATATTTAAAGTTTTGGAAAAAAAAAAAATCAAAACAGTAAACTAGAATTGTATAGCCAGAAATTTATCCTTCAAATGTGAAGGAGAACTAAACATATGCTCACAGAAACAAAAACTGAGGAAATCCATCACCTCATAGGGCTGCCCTGTAAAAAATGTTGAAAGATGTTCTTTAGCGAGAATGATAATATGTCAGACTTAGACCTGTCTAAAGAGAAAAAGAGTGTCAAAAATGGCATTAAAAAAGTGAAAAAAATATTTTCTTTGTTTTCTATTTGATCTAACTGTTAGTTTAAAGGAATGAAGAAATAATAGTAGCAAAGCATTTGTAGACTATAACATAGAAATGTCATAAGAAATGAGATAGAGGAATGTGCAATACTGCTCAAAGGTACCAGTACTACATGTGAAGCAGTATAGTGCTACTTAAGATGAACTTATATGAGATGTACATTGCACACTCCAGAAGAATATTAAAATTACATATAAATTAAATAAAATTTCTATGCTGAGTGGAGATGTAATGGAATCATATAAATCTCGGTAAAAACCAAAGAATGCTCAAAAAAGGAGAAAGAAATAAATAAAGAAGAAATACAACAAATGGAAAACAATTACAAAAATTTCATTCCCCAAACCCATTACCATTCTTTACAGAACAAAATTGCCACATCTTTCTCTAGGAGAGTGGTTGCTGGGTTCAAATTGCCAGCCTTCTGGTTAGCAACCAAGTGCTTAATCACTGTGCCACCAAAAAAAAAAAAAACTTACTACAATGGAAATAATTCCAACTCATAGAAACTCCCATAGGGTTTTCAAAGCTATAATTGTTTATGGAAGTAGATTGCCTTATCTTCCTCCTGCAGAGCCACTGGTGGGTTTGAGCCACTGGCTTTCTGGTTAGTAGCCAATGCTTTACCCACTGTACCACCAGAGCTCCTTCACTGTGCCACAAGTGTTCCTTAAATACATCATTATTCACTTTAAATGTGAATGATCTAGATGAACCAATTAAAAGTCAGATATTGTCAGAGTAGATTAAAAAAAGAACTATACAAATCATTTGATAAATTTAATGAGATACATTAAAAGTATAGAAATGGAGAAATATATATCATTCTGACATTAATTGAAAAAAAAGAAAGAAAAGAAAGAAAGAAACCTAGAGCAGCTATTTTAATTCCAGACAAGCATACTTCAGAAACATGATCAAGCTAAAATTGGCATTGTATAACAAATATTAACAGGTAGACACCTATAACAGGGCATCAAAGTATATGAGACAATAAATGATAGAACTACAAGAAGACTTGGAAAAAATGTACACTATAGTTGAAGACTTCAATAAACCTCTACTTGACAGATCAAGCAGTAGTCATATACTTGACCTTTCTTGACCAGAAAGATTTTTACCTGTGATTTATTGACTATGTAAAGGCATGACTGCATGGATAATAACATATTATGGACAACATTGAGAAAAGTGGTAATTACAGAACATTTAATAGTGCTCATATGGAAGTTGTACATAGACCAAGAAGCAATCATTCAAACAGAATAAGACAATATTGTCCTCTGGTTTAAAATAAGAAAAGATGTGTGTCAAGGCTATAGCCTTTCAGCATACATTTTCAATCTGTTTGCTGAGCACATTATCTGAGAAGCTGGACTATGTAAGGAAGAATGCAGCATCAGAATTGAAGGAAGGCTCATTAACAACCTGTGATGTGCAGATGACATGACATTTCTTGCTGAAAGCAAAAAGGACTTGAAGCACTTAATGATGAAGATCAAAGACTATAGCCTCGTCTTAACATAAAGAAAATAAAAATCTTCACAACTAGACTAAAAAACAGCATCACAATAAATGGAGGAAATACTGAAGTTTTTAAGGATTTCATTTTATTTGGATCTTCAATCATTGCCCATGGAAGCAGCATTGAAGACATCAAATGACATATTGCTTTGGGCAACTCTACTGCAAAAGTCTTCTTTAATGTGTTAAAAGCAAAGATATCACTTTGAGGACCCAAAGACATGGTATTTTCCATCTCCTCACACACCTATAAATGTTGGACAATGCATAAGGAAGACCAAAGAATTGATGTCTTTGAATTATACTGGTCATGTAGAAATTTGAATACAGTACCAGAGCTCCTTTGAATATGCTAGGGACTGCCAAAGAACAGACAAATCTGTCTTGGAAGAAGTACAGCCAGGATGCTCCTTAGCAGTGAGGAGGGCAAAAATTATCAGAACAGAACAGTCCCTGGAGAAAGACATCTTGTTTAGTAGAGGAT